CTTTCCATCACCGCAGATGATTATAAATTCAACAGTCAACATGTGATTAAAATGTAACTTTAGTACAAGCCGTTTAACCTTGTGGTACCTGTTTAGAAATCACCACCATATTTATACATATTTCCCTGTTTTCAGATGCTCAAAAATAGTTGGACAAATCAATATCATTTTAAATATAAGAAATGTTATTTAATACCTGGATCCTATACAATCCTTTACACTATCGCAAGTCAAGACGTCATGGACATTAACAAATGTTATTTCTACCTTGAGTTTCTCTGCTAGGATGTTGAATAAGCTAATTCAGTTGCTGCTTGTTTGTGGCTCTCTGTGCATTCAGTTTTGTCTTCAGTAAATGAAAGTATGCTCTGTTGGATTGTACCAATGTAACTGGCTTGGCCAATGAAGAATATCCAATTTCTTTAGCTTGAGAGGCTGCTTTTGGTTAATGATCCATTTGCATTGTAAAGTGGTGTTGGATCAGGTTTGCATTCAGCATTTTGTCTGAGTCTGAGCAGAGAGTATAGCCCTGTACACTTCAAAATTCATCCTGCTACTTCTATCAGCAGTCATCTCATCAATAAATACCAGTGGTCCGATTCCACTGGCAGCCATACATGCCTCCACCATGTTAAACAACATGCTTCGCATCATGAGTTGTTTTTCTCCTTCTCTACAGATTTATCTTCGTCCGTGTCAGAAGTTCACCTTGTTTATATCTGTCCAAGCTCTTTTAGATGCTTTCTGCCAAATCCAGTATTGCATATCAAATGCAAGTTGAACAGTTGAAATCAAGTCCAAATTGTTTATTTGCAAAATCCTAGGAGACAGGCATCACCTGACCATAAAACTACTTGTCATTCGATTGTCCTTTGAGCCTCAGAAAATGCTCTTAAACCGTCACGGTTCTGGGTCAGTTTGACCCAGTATTTTGAGTTATGTTTTGGTTTATTTTTCAATGATAGATTGTTCTTTATGTTTCTCTGGTGCTTTGTTGGGTTTTATGATGAATCTGCCTTTCAAGTTACTTTGGTGTGTTTGATTGTTTCCTTATTCTCTTAGTGCTTGTGATGATGATGATGATTATGATGATGTTCTATGTTCCAGCTTATTCTGGTTTATTCTTAGTTCTGCCCGTGTTAAGTCTGTGTTTCTTAGTCTGCATCCTTGTGTCTTATTTCCTGTTTTATTGTGAAAGTCTATGTCTTATGTTAGTGTGTGCCACTTTGCTCCCCCTGTCTCGTTAGTCCAATTTCTCCCAGCTGTGTCTCCCTCCTGTTGCCCATTCCCTGATTACCACCCTGTGTATATTAGCCCTGTGTTTTCCTGTGCTCAGTGTCGCGTCGTACCCTCAACTAGCTGTGTGTTCTGCTTCTATGTGCCTAGTGTTTAGGCTCCTGCTGCAGTTTTGTATTTCTTTTCCAGTGTCTCAGTCCTTGGTTCCTCTGTTCAGACTTTTGTTTGTCTTTTGGTGAGTTTAGTTTGTACGAGGTTTTTCCCAGCAATAAAGCTGCGCTTTAAGTCTCACTTCCGTGTCTGAGTTCTGCATTTTGGGTCCACCACTCCTGCTTGCCTGCCTGCCACACAGCGATTCATGACATAAACAACTAATGCAATAATTTTTTTTTAAACCTCGTGACTTAAAGCTTAAACTTTAAGTCATGAGGTTTGGTGTTTTAAGCACTTCAATTGCATATTGATTATTTAATGTAAAATTGTGGTAAAATGATAGGATCATCAAAATGATGGCATAAAGAGACAAAGTCGCAATAACATTTATTTAATTATGTATGGAGTGACCTGTGTATATCGGACATTATGACATCAAAATGAGAAGAAGGCAGAGACAAATTAGTAGGCATACGTCAATGTGTAACTCTCCAAAACGTTATTGTTTTTTATTTCTACACAGTGGTACAAACACTTGAATGAGAGCAATTACAGGCTACTAATACCATCAAGAGTGAGCAATTAAAGTGACTATTCTAGCAATGAACATCATTCTACCAAAAATTGTATCAGTTCATTTGAGCAATGATGTAATCCATGTTTTCTGGAAATGTATACATAAAGATAAGCTGTGCAACACAATTGTACCTTTATCTTTGATAATATTACTCTGAAACCTTTGCTTTTCTTTTGGTTTCTGTACTTTATTTAAAAAAGACATCTTCATCCTCGTGGTTTCATGACTTTTAAATTCGTAGATCCTTCAAGTACATTTCTTACTGCAAAACTTACTTTATTTACTTTCATTAAAATTAGAGGTTCTAGAGTTTTCTTTCATTTAAATGTTCTTCTAAATGAAGTGCCACAGGGCTGACCAAGAACAAAATAGGGGTGCACCACGGGAAATCTGAATATTTAATTTTTAATTAATTTGATTTTAGTTTTGATTTTTATTCTTGCTTCAGAGATTCTGGTTCTTGGTGTTGTTCAAACATACATCTGGTTTATTTATTTTTTTCCATTAGTAATCTGTTCTTCTTATGTTCTGGGTTCTTGTTATTCCTCTAATCTTCTAACTTCATTTATCTCACCTTATAAGTTTATGTGTTACATTTAAGTTATTTATTATGGCACCTTGTGAGAGGTCATTTTGGTTCCTACCTGGTAAGATTTATGGTGGAATTGTTTGTAGAGTGTAACATCCACTGTGTGCCATGCGTGTCAGGGAGTGAACAGAGTAAAGTTCACAGTTTTGGTATTAAGA